AAGTGCCTGTCATGTGCTAGGTACTAAGCTAGTTGGTGACAAATGGTGAATAAGATTGTTCATTACACTAAAATTCTGGAGATAAATGACACTGGGTGCTTCAGAATGCAGGAAACACACAAAAAAAGAAGATTTTAATATAAGATAGTAAATACTAATTCTTGCGTATATTAACCATGCAGATGAATCTCCATCCACTTAACCATTCCCCTATAGTTATACAGTGAGGAAGCCCACATTTTTTGATATTATAAATAATGCTGAAAAACGATTGTCCTATGTTTTCTATATACAGGATTCCTCATTAGAATAGACTACTAGAAGTATAATTACTGAGTCAATGTATGACTATTAAGGCTATTCAATAATATTATCAAATTGTTTTCCAAAAGAATTACATTACTTTATATTCCCACTGGCATTATAACTTTTTTTTTTTGTCTTTTATCTTTTTCCGTGTCTGGCAACGGATCGCAACCCTCAGTGTTGCCCCCGTACTGGACCGGGGACCGGCAATGGGATTGCAACCCTCGGTGCTGCTCCCGCGCCTCGCTCAGCCAGTGAGCGGGAACCGGTCTGTATGTGGGATCCGAACCCTTGGGCGGGAGCGCCACCGCACTTCCCAAGCGGCGCACTTATCCAGTGCGCCATCGGGCCGGCCCCTATAACTTTTTTTTTCTTTCAGGCCTGTCCGTATTGAAAATTATCTTTTTGAAAACCACCGTTTATTTTATAGATGAAAAAGGTACCTAATTTAGTTTACATTTAACAAATGGCCATTACTAATATCACACCTGATTTTGTTGGTTACTGGCTAATGGTAAAACAGCAATATTCTGAAAGCCCATATTTACAGCCTATGTGTATGCAGCCTATATGGCGCAATCAATGCATATTTTAGGGAGTTATTTTTGTCTCTAGTTTCATTATGTTGTAAATGAGCAGGGAATCACAGAATCTTAGCATCAGTAGGGATACTGGCAGTCATCAAATCAAAACTCTCACCATTACAGGAATCCTTTCTATAATATCACTGAAAAAGGGTCACCTAGCCTGTGCTTAAATAATTCCATTGATGATAAACTTACTGTTGAGTAGTTCTCCAAACAATAATACTTCCCTGTAACTAAGATAGTAAATATAAAATTGCTTTGATAAAGTTAAAAAAGAACTCTCTAAATTCAAGATTTTTCTACTTCATAGGTCAGATTAATTGGATGTTAAATTGCTGTAAAAATAGTGCTGTACAGTCAATATGATCTCACATTTATGTAGCGCTTTATTATTTTAAAGGTACTTTTTCATACCTCAATTATATTTAGTGATTTTAATACCAGTTTTTAGTATTCTGGTATACTCTGAAAAATCCCAGCATCATTTTTACATATCGAATAACTATTTATAACTCAATTACTTAATTCAGGAAGCAAGACAATATATAGTCTGTAAGTCTAGGCAGGTCCTCATTTGTACACATAGCAGAAAGAAACCAAATGGTGCTATTGATAAGCCTCTGTGGCAAGAATATTCTTAGCCCCAAATAATTTCTTGTCTAATAGAATATGAATATAATAGTACTAAAATTAATATAGATAACTCTGCTTTGAAATCTCCAGCTATACATGATAAAACTAATGACGATAATGAAAAAGTAGAAATAATTTCTTTGAAATAAAAACTATATAGCTCATTATATATTAAAAAAAAAATCCAGTCCCAGTCAAAAATGCAAAGGGGGTTTACAAATATCTTCACAAGGTATTAAGCAACAAATGGGATTATTCAAAGTTAAAGAGTCAAAGGAAAACATCAGGAATTAGTATAATTATCTCCTTAGTGTTGTAATGACTAGTGTAGTACTTGAAAAACTTGTTAGTTGGGAAATTGTATTTAAAACTATGTTCTTGACCCAATAATAACACTGGTGATGATGCATTCCAATTTTTAAGACCATAATTTTTTTCAGAGACAGATCAGATAATATTTCACTAAAACATATCTATTAATTCATATTAAAATGTTAATGCACATTTAACATTTGTAATAACAGCTTTATTGAGGTGTAAATCACAAAATATACAATTAACCCACTTAAAGTGTACAATTCAATGGTTTTTAGTATATTCACAGAGTTGTGCAACTGTCACCACATTCAATTTAAAATATTCTTATCACCGAAAAAAGAAACCCTCTATCCATTGGCAGTCACTCTCCATCACAGACCTTCCCCCCAGCCTTAGGGAAATACTAATCTACTTTCTGTTTCTGTAAATTTGCTTATTTTGGACATTTCATATAAATGGAATTACACAATATGTGGTCTTTTGTTTTTGGATTCTTTCACTGAGGGTGATGTTTTCAAGGTTTATCCATATTGTATCATATATCAGCACTTTATTCCTTTTTATTGACAAATAATATATCTGGATATACCACATTTTAAAAAATCTATTCTTCAGTTGATAGACACTGGTTTGTTTTCACTTTTTGGCTATTATGAATAATGGTGCAAACTCATGTACACACTTCTATGTGGACACAGATTTCCATTTCTCTTGGGTATATACAAGAGTGGAATTACTGGGTCACATGGTAACTCTATGTTTAACCTCTTGAGGAACTGACAGTTTTACAAAGTATCTGTACCATTTTACATCCCCATCAATAATGCATGAGGTATCTAATTTCTTCACACCCTTGCCGACACTAATTATGTTTTTTTGATTATAGCAACAGTTGTTTTTATAAATGGTATTTTCAATATTTTGTAATACATTTAGATATTTAAAAATTTGAAATACATTAAATATTGTTTTACTGTTTTTTTGCTTTATGAATTCTAAACTTTCTAATAAAAAAGCAAATACTGATATCAATACATATTTGACTATCAAGCAAAATAAAGACCCAAAGTGTCACTTCTGCTCTGGTTATTGCAATACATAATTACGTTTTCTTATAATAAAACTTCACATAACAAATCACCTTCAGAGCTTAGAATTAGGTAAACTTTATATTTATTTATGTGTTCCTTCTATACAAAAACCAAGAGCTGAATAACCAATTCCTTCTTTGCACTGATGGCTAGAAAGCTTAAACCTAGAGCTTTTCTTAGTTAAAAATTTTTGCAAAACTTCAACTTTTATTTTCATCTTTGGTGTTGTTTTTATACCTTTATATTTAGTAAAAGCTAACTCACATCCTTTTCACAGGAAAATAGGGTACAAAGAAGTAAGTAAGTACATGATAAATGCCTTTGATCTGTACAGCAATCCCAAAGCAGTAGTTAGGGTAAATCTTCCCAACTCTATACATGATAAAACTGAGCCAATGAAAAGTGACTCAAAGTCAAAAGCTTAAAAGTGGCAAAACTGATGTTATATCACAGATCTTAGAGTCTCCCATTTCAGTTCTTTATATTATTCCCACATTTCATCACTGTTTAAGACAAACATTTTCTGACACAGGAAAGTATCCAAAAAATCCAAAAACAAAGGAACAAAAAAACTCCTGCAGAACTAACACTTAAATGTTATACAGTCCCCATGATAAGATGTTCAATTAATATAGCATCCCAGTGATTGAGATAACTTTAAATGTTCCTCAAAACAGCCCTCATAATGGCCTAATTCCATATGAAAGAAACAAACATGCTAACTTTGCACTGATAATTATAACTATTACTAATATTTAAATTATCAATTTATTGCTAATGCTAAGAAAGATAGAATAAGATACAAATATCTAATAGTTGTCTAATAACATGGGTTATATAGTACATAATATCTGTAGTTAGCTGAAGAATAGGGGAAATATCTCCAAGTAGTTCCAATGTAGAATATCTTACATGAAGTTACTTTATATTTATATTTTATATTTTAAAGTCACATAAAAGAATTACTTGGCCATATGAAATCTATACATTTTTTCTTAAAGAAAGAAAATGTCTGTAGTAGACATGCATTTGGTATTCATTACTGGTGATACTGAATACAATTTAGGTCCAGTACCAGATACAAGGTATGAACACCATTAACTGAAAACTATACTTACCTCTCAGTGATTTCTAGAAATTTAAACTGCAATAATTTCATTTATCAAAGTGGAAAATAAGTTATATGTATGTTTCAGACCTAGGGAACAATTATCAAAATCATCTGAAAAACAAAAACAGTCTAAACATGAATAGGAGAATTCAATACATTTTATAAATGCCTCAAAAGAATCTTCTTTTATCCTCACTTTATCTCCACTTCTAGGATTGAGTTTTGTGGTGAACACTTGCAAAGTCTGGTACAAAGAACTAACTAAACCATCACTACAAGTTAATAAACATCACAAAATGACTTAAATCAACATGTGCTAAGTGACAGGACCTTGTGACTGTGTAAGTATTGGTTTTCTAGAATGGTATGTAACTAGAAACGGTAGTTTGCCTCAGTCATTTTACAGGTTTGGGAAATAAAGGCAAAGTGAAGGGACTCGCCCAGGGTCTCCTAAGTTTAAGGCAGAGTGGGGACTTTGTTTCCACAATACCATATGTCAAGTCAAAATTTAAAATGCATTTGATTTGCAGCTTTGATTAAACCTTGGGTTTAAAAAACTGAGCACGATATAGCCTGAAATAGTAAAGAGTTTTATGAACTCACATTTTTAGCTAATAGACATTTAGAAACCAAATATAATAGGAATGTCACTACTAGAGCAGATCATACATATATTATTAAAAGCAAGTGTAATGATGCCAACCTTCAGGTTTCCTAGGATATTTTAAAGATTAGAAGCATTTCTATTAGATATTTTAGGGTCACTGGAGAAAATTACTTTCATGCAGATGAAGGAATAAACTTCTGAAAGAGGAGCTGAAGAGAAGTTTGGCACCTCTTTCTCATATATTTCATTCCCTGAAAAATGTGTTGAACATTAACTTCACAAGTTGAATCTTACAGATGAAAAAAAAAAAAAAAAAGGAAGAAATAGAAATCCACCCATTTCTAGAATCATGGATTGAGTTTTGGAAGATGGTTTGATCTTGTAGTCTTTTTTACTGGTCCTCTCTTGGCATTAACTATCTTCTGATTAACAGGATTATATCTTCCCCTGAAATAAAAGAAATGTTTATTATGATTTTCCAGTCACCAGTGTATACAACAAAAACATATGTCATATAGGGAAAACAGTATATTGCACCTAATTCCTCCAGTCCACAGTTGTTCACATGGAAATCTTCCAGTGCATATTTTCTGCTTACTGTGCAATCTTAGGCAGCCATAAGTTATATCACATCATCTCACCATGGCTATACAGGCAAGCAAATCAAGATAATCCAAAGGCTGGGAAGCAGCCCATCTTGTGACCTTATGTGGAAAGCTCTGTCTAAAGAGGAATAAGATGGATCATTCTGATACTTGCTCTTGGAATTTTAATTTAGATTACGAAAACAGAAAGAATGAGGCCACAAAGTAGAGCAGGAACAATAAAGCAATAAGGATCCATGAATTCCTATTCTTACATTTGTATGGGATCCTCTTTTCCTTATTGACTTATGTATATTATAATGCCAACTTTCCTACACTTTTACATGCGTTAGTAAGAGGCCACTTCAATTCACTGCAGTGTGCTTTTAAAAAATATTTTAGTTAGGGTATGATGTTGAGACAGGATAGGGCTAGGTTGTGAATCAGACAAACTCCATTTTCCCTGCAGAGGACATTTTGTTACAAGCTGCACTTTTCCACTCCTTGGTCATGAGACCCCCAGGGCACATGATTACCCCATGGCTCTAATAAAAATGACTGAAAGAAACTGCTCTGATAAAATAAATTGATAAGAGAGGAACAAATATTTGCTGAGTTGCAGAACTCCTTCCCCAAGGCTTGTTAGAATATAACTGTAAGCTTTGTTTAAAATTTATCATTATGGACCCATTCTTTCTTTTCCTGTAATTGTAAAGATTAAGTTACAGATTAATCTTAAGACCCCTTTAGGAGTTATACACAAGATGCTCCTAGAACCAACCTCCCTTGTGACCACTGTAAAAATACCAGAAATCATCAAAGCAAGATGCTGACATCCATTGAGGAATTGCTCACCTTTAAAAAAACTTCCCCAGCTCCCCTTGGGGAACTGGCTTCCCTATAGCTATCTTCCTTATGTGTAAGTTTTCTTCTATTTTTTATTTATTTATTTGTTTACTGTATAATTTCATTCATTTTATTTATTTACTTATTTTATTTTATCAATATACAATGTAGTTGATTTTCTTGTCCCTTTACTGATTCCTCCCTCTCCCCTCCCTCCCCCCCTCCCACCCATCAACATCACATCTGTTCACTTGTCTTAACAAGTTCAAGGAATTGTGAATGTTGTTTCTTCTTCCCCATCCCCCCCCATTTGTTTGTGTATGTATTTATTTTTAGCTCCCACAAATAAGTGAGAACATGTGNTTTTCTCCCACTCTGTTGGTTGTCTTTTCACTCTGTTAATTGTTTAAATCAGTAGCATTTCCATACTGTTGAGTGAACAAGCAGAAAAAGAAATCAAGAAAGCTAGCTCAGTTACAGTAGCCACCAAAAAATAAAATACTTAGGAATAAAATTAAGCAAGGATGTGAAAAATCTCTACAATAAGAACTACAAACCACTGTTGAGAGAAATTAAAGATGACACAAGAAGATCGAAAGATATCCCATGCTCTTGGATTGGAAGAATTAACATTGTGAAAATGTCCATACTACACAAAGTGATCTACAAATTCAATGCAATCTCCATCAAAATTCCAATGACATGTTTCTCTGAAATGGAAAAAACTATCCTAACATTTATATGAAATAACAAAAGACCAGGAATAGCCAAAGCAATTCTGAGCAAAAAAAATAAAGCTGGAGGCATAACACTACCTGACTTAATACTACAAAACTATAATAACCAAAGCAGCATGGTACTGGCACAAAAACAGACACATGGATCAATGGAATAGAATAGAGAATCCAGAAATCAACCCACACACCTACAGCCATCTGATCTTTGACAAAGGCACCAAGTCTACACACTGGGTAAGAGACTGCCTCTTCAGCAAGTGGTGCTGGGAAAACTGGATATCCATATGCAGGAGAATGGAACTAGACCCATACCTCTCCCCATATATCAAAATCAACTCAAAATGGATTAAACAATTAAATATACACTCTGAAACAATAAGTTCTCTTCCCTTTAAATAAAGCATTGCTTGTTTTACTGCTAGGTATGTTGTTCACTTCTATGACTTTGCAACTCAAGAACCTGATCTGGTAACAATGTCAGCAAAAATGACAGGGTAAGAACCTGTCATTTTACTCTTACTTTATGAAGGAGAAAAATCCTCTCCTCCATAAAAG